CCTGCTTTGAACAGGGTTTTTTGGTTTGGTTGGTTGGTTTTTGAGAAGTTTACACTTACACAGTTCAAAGGAAGTAAGCTGAAATTTCTGTCCCTATGAATTCCGTGGCTAGAAGCTACTTTCAGCCTTACCTCCCTTATTTTACAGTCAATTCTATTTCACCTAATTTTGTCTTTGTAGTCTGCTTGGCTACAGCATCTCTATTATAAGACACCTAACACTGTCAGATGTGAAGACAGCAGGAGACAGATGCCAGTTTTTCCTTTGCCAGTTTGTCCCAGTGGTGTCCTCTCAATTAAGAAATGAGATGGATTTTTTTTTTTTTAATCTAAACCTCTGACTTCAGCCTCCAGTCTTCTGAACATGCTTAACATGATCTCATATCTTCTCATATCTTAACATGAGCCTCATATCTTCTCTAAAAGTTAATTTGCAGCTCTGACAGCTTCAACCACGATTTTTCAAGAAATACTTGCAAGGAAAAAAGGGAAAAAAAAGCTGGAAAGAGGATGTAGAAATTAGTTCATGAGAATGAATATAAAAGCCTTCACAGCCAGTTTGGACAGGACATCTTAAAGAACAGAAGCTATAGGACCAAGACCAAATTCTGGCAGCATTCTGGTAGCAGGTGATGGCAGGCGAGAGCACCAGAGTGGTGCACAAGCAGAGAGCTGTTGCTAACAGGGAGGAAAATAAAGTTTTTCTATACTTATACATTGTCCAGGTGTAGAGCTGAGAAGCTATTGCCAGAGACCATCACATCGATGAATGCGAGCTGTAAACAAGAACCAAATCAGACATAATGCAGATCTTAACACAAAGAGGCAAACTACACAACTGCTACATGGAAGGCAAAGTTGTGACTTCAACCCCCCCCCCCCCCCCCTTCAAAGCAGGAACAATTAAAACACTAGATTAACGTATCTTTCAGATAATTACTGTGTATGCTACGGACTCCGTGGTCCTACAAAGCCTGCTGTACTCTAAAAGGCAGAAAACAGCAAGCCTTTCCTGGAGCAGCTTTCTACTGACCCAAAATGCAAAGGCAGCCAGAATGAAAAGCAATACAGCATGAACTGTGATACTCAGTATTTGTAGTCACTGAGGCACTGGCCCGTAGCTCTACACGTGGCCATGCTATCCTAAGAGCATGGTACTCTCTGAAGCCAGCGTGATTTATTTTTTTTTTTTAAACATATTTATCATCTACCTGAAAGCCACTTAAAGCTATTTTGCTGTGGCTTTCAAACCTGAAGTTGAGTCATAAAAGGGCAGAAG